GGGGAACAGTGCAACCCAACATCGCCATCACACCAGGTGGCACGAACAGGGGCCTGGCTCCACTCCGCTTGCTTGCTTCACCTAAAAGCAATGAACCACGACAATCCAAGAACTCTGTGTTCCCTACAGATGCAGCCAAACGGAAAAAAGATTAGATAAAACAGATTGGGCTTGCCACAAGCTGAGGCATGGCCACAACAGCCTGCCACAGGCTTGGCAATAGATCTCTCCTTGTTTAAAAGCCAAAACCCTGAGACTCCCAGCAACGTGGTACCTGAGGGGGGTGGAAAAGAGGCTGTGAGCAGGAGATGAAGAGCGAGGAGAACAAACCCTGTAGAGGCTGTGAGCAGGAGATGAAGTGCAAGGAGATGAAGTGCAAGAGGAGAACAAACCCTGAAGGTCAGAGTAGCAAGCACACAAGCAGCTAACTAATGTGCTACAGCAGCGCCACGGGGCACAGCCACGGGCACGCACGTCCTCGCAAACTGGAACGCCATAAAAGTCCATTACAGCAAATCAAACAGCAGCCAGCATGACAGCCATTAGCCTGAAATGAATACACGGGAACTTAATGAGCTCTGTCGAGGCCAGCTTGGTGAATTGAGTTGCCAGTTGTAGCAGGATTCCCCTATCTGTGTGCAGCCCTGCCCTGCCTGGCTGCGCTGGGGCCGGCAAAGCACAGGCAGCCCTTGCCCAGACGGGACGGACGATTAGGCTGGAGCAAATATCCCCATATCCCTCTGCTGGCCCCTGGCAGCTATTCCAGCATGAGATCAGCACACAGCAAGCACACAGGAGCGGTGCCACTCCCAGCAGTCGAGCTGCTGTGGTGCATCCTCTCCATCCCAGCCCTGCAGCCCATGGCCAAATAAATCCCCATTCACACACCGAGCGGAGCACGTAAAGCACCAGGATGGGTATTTAGAGGCAGTATTGTTTTTAAAGGTCAGTTTACTTCATGTTCCATTTATTTATGCACACTCTTCTTTTGACTTTCCAAGTGGCACACAATAGCAGCGAGGTTTAAATAGCCCTGCGGTCGCTGCTCCATTAGCTACGACAACTGCAAATCGATACATCCATTTATCTCAAAATTAAAAAGAGAAAAACCCTCATTAGCTGCCAAATCTGCACAGAGCCAGTCTATTGAAAACCACACCAGCCTCTCCTCTTTCTCCAGGCTCCAGCTCTCTTCATTCATTATCCACAGGCCCTTCGATTTGGGCTCTGAGGCGGATTTTGGTACCTGAGCCCTCGCTGCTCTCCCTCAAGCTGTTTGGAGCATGGGCTGACCTGTCATTCCTCACCATGGCTGTGTCCCTCACCACTTTTCCATGCCACACCACCTCCAGCTCTGAGTAGTCATGGACAAGCAACAAGGAAAACTCATGGCTCTGCACAGATCTCAAAGTCAAGTGCGCATCTCCTCCTTGAGAGCCGCACCACCACACTCAGAAAAAGCTCCTTGCTGACACCTCCCACACCTGCAGCCCTTGGAGGGGCCTCTGAAGGTGGTGAGACCCCATCCCCTGCTCTCTGGCAAGGCAAGGCTCTCTCTCCCTGGCAGCAGAACAGGAGTGCCTCCAGGATGCTGTACATCAAGGCGTTTGTGGCTCATTACCTCTGCTCGGTGCCCTTGGTTAAAGATCACGGGCAGAAACTGGAAGCTGGCACACTCTGCCTTGTAATTAGATTAGGCCAACCTCCAGAAGAGCACAGCTCCCAAAGCCAAGTGCTGGGTGGCTGCACGGGGGGAACACCAGGCTTGCTGCACCCCAAGCAGCCAGGCAGTGCTGGAAATCCTGCACAGCACACCCACAACTCACCTGCACAGCATGGGATACGGCCCAAAGGCTCAGCCTCTTCTTTTTTAATTTATTTTTTTTGTCCACATCACCTGCCTGCAGTTCTCTTTCCTCAGCCAGACCTAATTTTGCACATATGAGGGCATGGAGTGATAGGACACAGGGGAATGGCCTTCAACTGCAAGAGAGGGGGTTTAAATTAGATATTGGGAAGAAATCCTTCCCTGGGAGGGTGGGCAGGCACAGGGTGCCCAGAGGAGCTGTGGCTGCCCCTGGACCCCTGGAAGTGTCCAAGGCCAGGCTGGAGCAACCAGTGGAAAGTGTCCCTGCCCATGGCAGGAGCTGAACTAGAGGAGCTTTAAGGTCCCTTACAACCCAAACCATCCTGTGACTCTGATTCCATGATTCCAAACCAGGACCTTTGTCCTCCCTGCTCCCCAGGCTGGGCATGGGTTAATCGTGGAAATGGGGAAAACTCAAGCTTTGCAATGTTGGCTCTTAGGATGATGCCTTGTGAAGGCTGACCTAGGACAGAGAATGGACAGAGTTACAGAATAAAGCAGGGATTTATTAGGAGGCCTCGGTGCATCCACCTTGGGCAGCACAAGAGCCCAGCCAGGGCTACACCCAAGATGAACCAAAATGGTCACAAAAATGAACACCCAATCAAAAAATCTCTCACTTTTATAAGTTCTGCTCCATTTGCATATTGAAGTTAATTGTCCAATTACAGCTTTAGCCCATGAAGCCCCATCCTTGTTTTTCTCTTTACAATTCACCCTTGTTTATGCTCCTGGGCCTGAGATTTGGATCATTTGTTCTTGGTGCCCAGCTGGAGCAGGAATTGTTTTGTCTCCCTGCTCTGTGCACAGAGCTCACCATCCCCTGATATGAAGCCCAGACCCACACACTAAAGCAGCACAGAATCTGAAACACATAAAAGCTAAAACCTCAGGCATCAAGGACAGAAGCCGTCAGCAAGAAGAGATGTGGCACAGAAACTCCAGGTATGTAAAATCTGGTGCTTAACACAGCCCTGATTCCCAGGGGAGGCACAGAAACGCACTTACAACTTTTCACAGAGCAGGGAACAGCAAAACCAGAGGTCAGGCTGAGGGCAGGGGAGAGGAGCCTGTTCTCCTCCCACCCCACTGCCATTCCCTTTGCTTTGCAGACCTCTGCAGGCAGAACATGACCCAGAGAGCAGCAGCAAGGCACAACAGCTCCAGAGCCCTGAGCATGAGCAGGAGCATGTCACCATCATATTATCTGAAAAATCTCTCTGCCCAGGATTTTCTCCTGGGAAGCTGAGAAACCTCAGAGAAAAATGAAAACAACAATTATCTCATTTGCTTCTCCTGTGTTTTGCTGCTTTGAAATGTATTTGGAGATTGTTCGTCCAACACGTGATGATTTGATTGGTTTCACGTGAATTGTTTTTGACTTAGTGACCAATCAGGGTCAGGCTGTGTCAGGACTCTGGAAAGAGTCACAAGTTTTTATCATTATCTTTTTGGCCTTCTGTCTGTATCCTTTCTGTCTTGTTTAGTATAGTATAGTATAGTATAGTATAGTATAGTATAGTATAGTACAGTATAGTATAGTGTAGTATATACCATATATAGTATAGTATATACTATACTATATAGTCTATAGTATATATAGTATAGTATAGTATATACTATACTATATATATATATTCTTTAGTATAGTATATAATATAATATAATATAATATAATATAATATAATATAATATAATATAATGTAATATAATGTGATATAATATAATATAATATAATATAATATAATATAAGCCTTCTGAGAACATGGAGTCAGATTCATCATTTCCTTCCCTCTTCAGGGGTCCCTGAAAATACAGCAGGGGGCACCTGGTGGGGGTTTTGCCAAGTCATTTCTCCAGCTCTGGTGCTCTGCAGAGCAGCAGAAATGCCTGTGACCCAGTGTCACTCTCTCTCACGGGGAGGTTTCAGGTGACTTGGTGCAAAGATGAGACTCCAGCTCCCGGCTCGAGCATCATGAGCAGCTCTAATGAAGAAACCTCATCCTCCTTACAGCAGAGGGGTGGGGAGGGATCACAGCCCAGCACGGCAGGTCAGCAGCAGCAGGAATATTAAACACACCCTGGTAACACAATCTTTTGCACCTCTCAGTTACCAGAGCTGCTCCATTTCACACACACAATGCACACGGGACCTCACCCACACCCTGAGGAACAGTCTGGGAAAAACTGCCCTGGAACTGTGGTGCAAAGAGAGGTTTCCTCCACCGGAGGATGTCAAATGCTCTACTAACCCTCTGTTTCAAATGGAGTATCATCACCTTCTCCTCCTGGCACCAGAAGCCACAGCTTAAAGCCTAAATTCACGTCAGACCTGTGAATTCCCAACCAAGTCAAGCTACAGGTGCAGAAGCTGTCCCTGATGGATGAGCAGATGTCACCTCCCTTGCAGTGGCCAGCACAGAGAGCAGCAGAAGGTCGTGGAAACTCAGTTCTAGGGGATATTTCAACACTTGGCTGGATGAAGCCCTGAACAACCCAACCTGACACGAAAATTCTCACTGGATCAGTGTGAGCTTGGGCCAGATGATCTCCTGTGGCCCCTTCCCACCTATTTTATCCTGTGGCCCCTTCCCACCTATTTTATCCCAAGGACAACATGGGACCAGTCCTGCTAAGGAGCTGTTGAGGGAAATGACCAGCCTTTGGGCAGCACTCTGCCAGAACTCAGGCATTTGGAGAAACACTCTGTCCTGCCTCAGGTCACCTCTGTGACAAGAGCTGAGCACGCCCCCAGCTCCAAGGAGAGAACAAGACACAGATCCTCACTGACACTCATTTCCAAACTTCCCATTTGCCATGGAGATCCTCAGCTCCAAGGAGAGAACAAGACACAGATCCTCATTGACACTCATTTCCAAACTTCCCATTTGCCATGGGGAAGATATCACCAGAGCACCACACCTCCCCTTCCACCTCCTTCCCCCAACACCCCAAACACTTTGCTCCTGCCCATTTTCAGGCAGTGACTTACAGAAGTTTCATCCTCCCGCAACCTCACGAGGCTCCAGGGCGAGAGGACAGCCCTGAGCATTGGTGGCCAGCTCTGTGGTGGCAACCAGAGCCTGAGTGGCCCCTGAGGGGAGAGGCAGAAGCCAGGCAGAGATGCTCCTACCTCTGGGATGCGGACGCTGTAGGGCTGGTTGTGGAACTGCGGCGCGTTGTCATTCACGTCTCCCACCTGGATGTTCACTGTCCCTTTGATCACCTGTGGGCCCAAGGACAACAGCAGGCTGTTTAGGTGTGGGTTTAGAGCCTAAAAAGCAGTTGTGGCTGTGGTTTTGGGCTTTGGGCCAAGGGGTGAGCCCTCTCCCCTGGTGCGGAAGTGACCCACAGCCCCTGCTCCCCTCCGCCCGTGCCGCAGACCATGAAATGAAAAGTCACACTCACCCCTTGGCTGTCACTGACAGAAAATTCAACTGTGAATTCTGACTTGGTCTGAAAGGGAAAGAGAAGGAAAAAAAAAAAGCTATAATTAAAGATGCTGTAGTGTTTATCTGCAGGTGGCAGGCTGGGGACTTTCAGCCAATGTTATTACACGCAAAATGCTTCCAGGACCTTCCAGAGGAGGAGAGGTGCTGGAGTGCCATTACCTGCTCTGGGCACAGAATGCTGGGGAATCTGAATTCCTCAGGCACAGGAGATGCCCCCAGGGCTAAGGAATCAGCTCCCTGTTTTAAGCTGGGCACTTAAAACACAGCAAGATTTAGGACTCATGGCAATGCAACTCAGTCTCAGTGAGGACCTCTAAATCCTGCTGCTGCTTTCCCAACTTCCCTGGGAATCCTGGGACAAGCCTGTGTAGTGAGGACTGGCTGAAATTCCATGAAATTCCCACACAATTCTCTCTGCTCCTTATTGATTTAACTAAATTAACAGTCAAATCAAGTCACTGATGCTGGGGTGAGCAACAAGTGGGAAAGAGCAAATTTTTGGGATCAGGGCAGGGGGATATTGCCAGTGGAGGCAGACCTTCTCTTCCTGACCCTTTTCTTCCCACCAGCAATCATTTTGCTCCTATTTTACCAAAGAATCATGTAAAGATTGGGCCACCACATCTACGTGGTACCTGCTCACTAGGTTATTGTTTTTGCGGAGAACAAAATTTTAAAATTTATATATATGTATGTAAGGATTCTGCCAAAACTTCGCTCATGAAAAAGATGGAGCAAATGCAAGCTGTATGTTGGTATTGGTGGATTTTAATTGTTTTTTGTCGTGCAGATTTGCCTGTGGAACAACCAAAAACAAGGCTGCCGGCTCGGATACGATATGTTTGTCTAACTCGGAACCAGAAAAGCCTTTTTCAACCTGCCTGGTTGGTGTGCCAGTGAAAGAGTTGCCTTTGGTCAAAAAACAATCCAATGGTAGGCCAGGTGGAATTGACAATGGAAACAATCCCTCATTGAATTGGAACGTTTGGTCCAAAAAACTTCTCAGGGCAGCATCTGAACCTCAAGAATTAGAAATCCTTGGTTCTTTGACCATGGATTTTGTTGTGCTCTGCTGCCTGTGCCACACCAGCCTGCTGCATCCCTGCCCTCTCTTCCCCTCCTCACGCACCAGGGACAGCGCAACAGGGAAGAAAGGAAAAGCAGGAGATAAGGAGCAACCTGTTGAGCATTTAAATTTTAAAAACTCAGTAAAATAATCAGAGGAAGCTTCCACGTACCAACTGCTGTCTCTCAAATTATTTTAACACAATTCTTTAGCCTCGGGGTCTGCCGTTTTCTAGAAATCTGTTTTCCTTCTAATCTTCATAGGAGTACAAAAAAAAAATCTTTTAAAATTCATTTTGCCTCTATACATTTGCTCTTTTTCTCTAGCTCATCCTTCCCTGCATCATTTACCTTGCTATGGCTCCTTTTCCCTTCTTTCTGCTCCACAGGACAAGAATTCACCTCTTCCTTTTCCCTTCCCACCACTTCTCCTCAGTGGCTTTGTCCCCCCCTGACTTTTTAAGCACATGCATCCAGTGTTTTCTGCTCCCAGCTTTGTGCCCATCCCCATCCCTTCCCTCTGACTGCTTCCTCCACCACAAATTGTTGTTTACACATCCTTTACACCTTCCCCACATCCATCCTGCCCTCACTGGCTCCCACTTTGAGCCCCTGGGATCAGCTGGGCCCATCCAAGCTCTGCCCAGCTCCTTCCCTCCCCACAAGACGCCTAAAATCTGTTGCTCACCCTCCTGGGCTTGAGGCTGGCATGGGAAATGTGGGGAAGCAGGAGGCATTAGGATGAGGGAAGATTTATGGCTCAGGCCAGCAGCTGCTGGCACGGGGAGGCGGAGGGGAGAGGGGTGAAGAAAAGCACTTTATTTTCCCAAAGTCTCGCTCCTAACACTGTGAAATTGGGTTTGGCCTTCCCCCCAGCCCCAGCCCGAGAGCATCCCTGCTCCTCTGCATGCCAATGCCTGCCTGGCTCTGACTGGGAGCACCAGAGGTGTGTTAATGGGTTTCATCTTCCCCAGGCTGCTGCTGGCCAAGGCAGCACTAAACACAGGGGAAATGAAGCACGTTGCCCAAGTCACATCATATTTTCCCAGTCTTCCTGCTATCACTTCCTCCTTGCTCCAGGAAAGCAGAAAGGGCCAAGGTTTTAGCAAAGCAGGCACCTGGATGGGATTCCAGCCTTGCACACCAAAGCTGCCATTGAAAATAGGAGTGGTGAAACAGCTTTGAGGCAAGGATCCTGCCAAATTTAGCATCCAGCAGCCTGAATCCACAAGAGGATGAAAAGTCTTGATGAGATTGACTAAGCAGGGATACCTCACATCTCTTGACACGCTGTTCTAAATAGTAAAGGATTTAATTGGCACAGAGATTTAAAGAGGAAGCCTGCACATTTCCCTGACTGTGTGAGCAGCTTGGCTCCTTGCTAGACCACCTGCAGCTATTAATTCCTTTACTTTCAGACCTGTTGGAACTCAGTGCATCCATCTGGGTGTCCAGAGTTTTTGGGACCCCCATTGGAGGGCTCAGAGACCCTGGCACACAGCCCAGAACACATGTGGGTTTGATTATGACCTGTGGAGCAAATTACCAGCTTTGTATGAGGACTGAAAGTCACACAGGTTTGAATGGTGTAATAACAAAATGATCACAGGGTGAAAATGTAGATTTTAGGATTTCTGGTATGGCGGTTTTGGGGACAAGATGGAGGAATCTGGGCATGTCCAGCCTTTCTTTCTTCTTGGTCTCCATTTTCTGCAGTGATGCTGGCACTTTGGGATTGGTTTAGGTAGAAGCTCACTGTCTAACACAGGTGATGGGTATTGGGAATTAAGTGTAAATATGTTATAGGTAGTTTGTAGTATAAAAGGACAACACAGAGTGCCTGTGGCTGCCCTGCTGAGCAGATCTGGCTGGGCAGAAAGAAAATTTTATGGATAAGAATTAATAAACAACTTCAAGGCTGAAAACTGAAGAGCTCTGAGTCGTTCTTCAGTTGTGTGGGCTGAAGCAGAGGCATCCTGCACATCTCAGGGCAGCAATTGACAACCAAAACCCGAGACAGACCCACAGGTGTTACTGTAGCACCCAGGAAAACCACCAGGTCAGATGAAACCAGAGCAGGCTGTTCACTGCCCACGTCCCCACTGACGTGGAGAAGCACAGATCACGGTGGGCACACCCAGATCCCCACCTGCAGCAGGGAGCAGCGCCCACCCCAGCTCTCACAGAGGATGGAGAGCCACCATTTCTGTGGTTCATGCCCAGTTTACCTCTCTGTCCAGGGGCTGCCTGAGCCACACCACGCCGGTGAGGCTCTCCACGGCGAAGAAGCGGCTGGCCTCCTCCCCGACCACCCCATAGACCAGGGGGTCGTTGTCCAGGTCCCTGGCCAGCAGCTGGGCCACTGAGGAACCTGGGAGACACAAAGAGGAGAGAAACCATGAGCAAAACCAGGCAGAGAAGAGGAAACGCTGAAAACGCGCAGCTGGTCAGAGAGCAGGGGTCGCAGACATCTTTTACGGAAAATCTTTTCTTTTAAGATTTTTCCTCCTGAGAAGCTGAGAGGCCTCAGGAGCAAAAGGTAAACATTGATTATCTGCTGCTGTGGAATGCAACATGTGCATCTGGGATTGGTCCCATGTGGTTGTTTCTAATTAATGGCCAATCAGTCAGCTGGCTCAGACTCTCTGTCTGAGGCACAAGCTTTTGTTATCATTGTTTGCTATTCTATTCTTAGCCAGCCTTCTGATGGAATCCTTTGAGGATGGGGGGAATGAGGATGAGATTTCTCCTTGGCCACATGGATTTGAGGATGAGGGTGAGGATGAGCTTTCTCCTTGGCCATGTGGATTTGAGGATGGGAGGGATGAGATTTCTCCTTGGCCAGGTGGATTTGAGGATGGGGAGGATGAGGATGAGATTCCTAAATGGCCACATGGATTTGAGGATGGGACACAGTCTGTGTGAGCCACCATGCCCCCAGATCCCCTGGTCAAGGAGAAGAGATGTCCAAATTTCATCCCTCTGGGATATTGAGGGAAGATCCAGCAGAGCAGAGGGCAAAAGCAGCAGCACAGTTTGGATAGCAGAGAGAGCTGGGCAATTCCCAATCCATTGGTGAGACATCAATCACTGCTGAAATAATGGAAAAAGCCAATATGAGATTCCATTAATAAAGAATTAAATGATAGGAACATAATTAATGCCAGTCAACACGATTTTATGGAAAATAGAGCTTGTCAAACAAACCTGATTTTATTCTTTGATGAGAGTACAACTTTGGCAGATAAAGAAGAAATAATAGATTTCTGTGAGGCATTTGCCTTCGCCCTGAGTGACTTTGTGATTAAAGATTTAGTGCCCTAGGACATTGGTGAAGAACATTTTGAGTGAGGAGCTGGCCTGGCAGGTCCCAAGGCCACCAAGCTCACTGGGGACATCACAGTGGGATGTAAAATTGCTGTTGGTACAAGTTCTGTGACACATAAGAGGCGAGACCCAGCAGCCAGGTGAAGCCCTGGGAAATTTGAAGTCTTTCGGGAAAAATTTATTAATTCCAAGCATGCAAGGAGAGGTTGCACACCCTTCCTGCAGAGCCACGGGGCTCTTGGGGAAGTCAGGAGTGGCTTTTAGGCCAAAAAGCTGCTTCTGTCAAGGCTGCAGAGCTACAGCTGCTTGGACCTTCAGCACTGGACTCAAGAGGAAGACAAAAAATTCCAAGAGCTAGCAGAAATGCTTTTCCTTAAAAAAAAAAAAGGCTTTAAAAGCTTGAACTGCCTCATCTATGACTAAGAGGAGTGGGATGACTCAGGCCATCTCGAGCACATCCACAGAGAGGACAAGATGTGATACTGAGCAATGAGCAAGTGCCCGAACCCAAATTCCTGTTTGGAGGAGGAGCAGCGGTTTTGTTTTAAGAGGAGCAGCTAGAATGAACCACTAGGGGAAAATAAACAACAAAAACATTAATTCCACCAACAGGTGCAGTGAGTGATGGGTCACAACCAAAGGCATTTTGGATAGAGACAGAAACAAGTGGCTTTGTCCAGCCTGTGATCAGAGTGCTCATCTGCAGCGTTCCCACCTCTCCATGCAGCCAACCCCACGGATACCAAACCCCTTCACTTTCTCAGACCTTGTATCCCTGATATAAAAATAAAAAAAATTAAATCCCTAAAATAAAAAAAAAGTATTACACATGTATAAAATACAAAACTAACAAATAAATAGAAGACAAGAAGAAACCCAGGCCTGAAATGAGACTTCACAATTGCTTTGCTCCAAGTTTTTTTCCAAGTTTTCCCCCTAAGTTTAGGAGTGTGGTATTAAAGCTTCACCACTTTGACCACCACAGTGACCAAATCAATCAAGGCAGCAGCTTGATTTGATGCTGGAGGATGCTCAAAGCCATCCTTAGCACAGGTTTCTTTGCCCCAAGAAGACAGAAAGACAGTCTCCATGGCTGGGAAAGCCAAAACTTGGACAAAATAAATCCAGGATCATGCCTCTTTATTCTGCCCAGTTTTATTTAAATAGAGAACAGGTTTCCACCCTTTGCATCCCATTAAAAAACCCCACAACAATCATTTGATCATAATTTCCCTCCAGAATAGCAAATACTCCAAAAGGTCTTGGTTGCACATCTTTGGAAGATAAAGGATCTCAAAATTCCTGCTGAATAGGAAAACCTTGTGCCACCCAGTTTTAATAACATTCGTGGTCTGTGAGTTGCAAACCCAGTTGTACCAACAAATAAATAACTAAATTAACAACAATTTAATATTTAACTCTTCTCTCTCTGCACTGCAATGACTTCCAGGGAATTGAATTCCTAAATTCAGGACAACCTGGAGAAGGAGGCAGGGCATGTATAAAATACAAAACCAACAAATAAATAGAAGAAGAAACCCAGGCCTGAAATGAGAAATGAGACTTCACAATTGCTTTGCTCCAAGTTTTTTTCCAAGTTTCCCCCCTAACTTTAGGAGTGTGGTATTAAAGCTTCACCACTTCCACCACCACAGTGACCAAAGTTTGTTCAGATTACCTCCCACTGATTTCTTCGGCACCAATTTATTGTATTTATTGATTTTCTCCTATTTCCCCCCATCACCAGGAAGGCTGGGCAGGGCATGCAGCACATCCCAAAGGAGAACAGCTCCCACCCCTGCCCAGGGTGGTGCTGAAGCCTCTGCAGCCCCAGCGAGGGCTGAGGGAACAGGGACAAATGATCTTCCTGCAGCACAGAGCTATGGGCTCCATTTGTTTCCCCTCAGGAATCAGACAGGGCACTTAAGTGTCTTGATTCCAGCAGATAATCAGAATTTATCTTGTCTCCCTGTGCCTCCTTTCTCTCAATCACAGCTACTTCTCCCTCTTTTCTCACACATACACAGATTTTCTTCTTTCTCCAAGTGTTGAACTTTGATTGACCTCAGGAGCCTTTTTTTTCTTTTTTTTCTTTTTTACTTTTTGCTGTCGTTTTCTTCCTGATCTGCTTTTATTATATATATTTTTTTAGGTTTGGCTGTTTTAGGGGGGCATTTTAGCATCCCATTGAGGAACTCTGGTCTCAGCACTTACAGCTGTGAACATCTGCATTTTTCCTTTACATTTTTCTTGCCCTTCCACTTTGCCAAGGAGGAAATTGGGAAAAGGGGCTGCGCCCCATCAATTCATCTCCACTGGTTCTGCTCTGCAGAGGAGGATGAGAAGAGATAAAAAACAAACTCAAACCCAGTCTCTGGAAGGATCCCAGAGCTCCCAGAAGGTTCTGGAAAGTGCAGAGCCCCAGGGAAAGATGCAGATGTTGACCCAGGGCAGCAGGAAGGGGCTGGGCTGGGATGGAGGGCACACAAGGAGCAGGTTTCTAATTAATTGCCTAATAAGCTTCTCTTTTGAGAGGGCTGATTCATACCCATGTGGAGTTAATAGGAATTTCTGCATTGGCTTTTGGGCTCAAGAACTGAGGCATCAGCTCTGCTTTAATATGAAAAGCATTTTAATCCTGATTTTAACATTTAATCCTGATTTTAACAATCGGTTTCTCCCCCAGTGAGCTCTGGGTCATTTGTTGTGGGCACAGACAACACATTTTGGCTTCTTCACCAAGGCCACAAGCTGGCACAGGGAACCAACACCTCAGCAACTCCTTAACCCAGCAGAAAATCAGTTAAAAATCATTTCAGTACCACCACACTGAACTTCCAAAAGTAAAACTTCCACCACATTTCTGTGCCATTCACATTCTCTGGAAAAATCCCTTCACCCAGGGTTTTTCTCTTGGGAAGCTGAGAAGCCTCAGAGAAAAAGGAAAACAATTCTTCTCTCATTTGCTTCTCCTGTGTTGTGCTCATGTGGAATGTTTTTGGAGATTGTTTACCCACAGGTGATTGTTTCATTGGATTTCAGTGTGAGTTGTTTTCACTCTTTGGCCAATCAGTGCCAAGCTGTTCTGGGACTCTGGAAAGAGTCACGAGTTTTACTATTATTATTTTTTTAGCCTTCTGTCTGTATCCTTTCTGTATTCTTTAGTATAGTATCTTTATTCTTTAGTCTTGTATAACAGTATAATATAATACAGACACATCATATCTATATAATATATAGATCTATATATAGGTATGCATAATAGATATCTATATATATAGATATATATAATATCTCTATCTAGATTAATATAATGTAATATAATATAATATAATATAATATAATATAATATAATATAATGGAGTATAATATCAGTATAGTATAATATAATATAATATAATATAATATAATATAATATAATGGAATAGAATAGAGTATCAGTATATATAGTGTAGTATAATATATTATAATAAAGTAATAAATTAGCCTTCTGAGAACATGGAATCAGATGCCACATTCCTTCCTTTTTTGGGGCTTCCCTGCAAATACAGTACATTTTTTGGGCTCCCTTTTTTCCCTGTGAGGGAGATGGGCCAGCCCAGCCCCATTCCCATTTCCTGCCCCAGTCACCCCAGCACAGCCTCTCCAATCAGCCCAGTTCACCACAGCAGGCTGGCCCCTCATCACAGGGGATTTGATGGATTCGATCTTGAAATTCCAGCCCTGTTCTTCTCATTTGTCACCTGCTCCCTTTCCTTTGCCTCTAATTCATTTTCCCTTTCACCTCTCAGAAAATATAAAAAAGAAAAAAAAAATAAAAAAGGGGGAATAGAAAGCTCTTCTGGAGATGCTTTCCCCAAGATTTTGAAAAGAAAGGATGAAGTGCCAATATTTCTGTGCTGCTCAGCAGTCTCCGAGCAATGAGAGGGAAAGAAAAGGAAGTAAAGTAAAATCTGCTTTCAGGCAGGAGGTCACAGGAGCTGCTCCCATGTTTGGAATGAGGCTTCCTCAGTTTCCTGCAGGGCACAAACCAGAAACCCAGAG